GGGACTCCTCAGAAGCACTAAGGATGTCTGACTGCAGCTTAGGTCTGCTCCCCACTGACAAGTGGACATCCCCCGAGGGCTGCTGGGCTGTCAGAAGGATGTCTGACTGCCATCTTAGGCCCAAGCCCCCGGGGAGCGGGCCTAAGCCAGCAGGTGGTCATCCCCTGAGGAGTCCCAGACTGCGAGAGGGCACATGCTGGGCTTAGAGACCCTCTGCGGCAAATGCACAAATTTTTGTGCACTGGGCCTCTAGTCATTAATAACATTTCTAAAAATCATTAACATCTTATTGAAGCATTCAGTATCCATGTTTAGACAATTTAATTTTTAGACAGTTACCCTACAACATGAACTTTTATTATTGTGCTATTATTTGAGTTAAACTTAGCCCAATGATTAAAATCAAGTAAGTTAGACACATACCTGTGATCCACTTGCGTCAAAATGTATATGCACAGATGTTTGGGCAATTGAAATACCTTGTTTGCTGGTATACTCCTAAAATTAAATTAATTCAGTGATATCATTTTCTTCTAGCTCTTTCTATTTTAATATATTTCCTACCTGTTTCAAAATTGCCAAATTATTTCAAGTCATTACTTTGTATATATAAATACATTTCTCAGAATACATTAATGACTCCACACTAACCAGTCTTCTTAGCCGGTCATTTTGGCAAGGGCTGCTCATAAACATATTCTCTGTTTTTCACCATAAATCTTTTACACTATATAGACTGACTGTGTTCCCACCCCAATTCATATTGAAACCCAAACCCCAATGTGATAGTGTTAGAAGGCAGGGCCTTTGGGAGGTGAAGAGCTAACCAAAATAGAGCCCTCATAAATGGGATAGTGCCCTAATAAAAGAGACCGAAGAGAGCTCCCTCACCTTTCCTACCCACCATGTGAGGACCCAGTGAAAAGATGGCCACTATGAACCAGGAAAAGTGCCCCCATGAGACACCATGTCTGCTGGTACCTTGGATCATGGACTTTCCAGCCTCCAAAACAGTGAGATATCAATGTTTGTTGTTTAAGCCACCTAGTCTATGGTATTTTTGTTATAGCAGCCTGAACTTGTCGACAGACTATTTGCCCCCAACATAACATGAATTGTCACCTTGGATTTCCAATTAGACAATATCTAACTCATAATGTGGTGGAAAGGGTCTTACCTACTTTTATCCATAAACTTCAAAGGCCATTCAAACCCCATCTCTACAGCCTTTCCTTCAAGTCTGACTTCTAAAGAGTATTCTCTTCCCTCAATGTCTATACTTCATTTTCCTTATGCCACTTATTTACATCTTCTGAGGTTTATTCTGTAATTCTTGCAAATTATATTTATTATCTTGAAAACAGGGCTTCATCTCATTTTATGTTTTAAATAGTTGGCAGGAATTCATTAAACGCTTTTAGTAGCTGCTGCTAATTTTGTCATCTGAAATTTTTCCTAATAGATATCTCAAAGGGTATGGCTAACAATCTAATGGCTATTCCAATACAAATTTAAAGAACTAAAAATCTGTCATTTAAAAAATTCTAGAAAAAATTAATGAAACTTATAATCCCAAGTAACCAAGTTTCCAAGAATCTGAAAATAATGGATTATAAATAGTTTAAACACTTACCCAATGTTTATTTGCACCAAAA